ATTAATGGGGTGCCCGGGTGGTTCAGTCCATTAAGCATCCAAGTCTTGATCTCAGCTCAGGTCTTGATCTCAAGAGTTGTGAGTTCAAGCCCAGCATTGGGCTCCACACAGGGTATGGAGCCTACTTAAAAAAAAAAAAAAGATCATCATAAATAAAAATTTCTAAATATAATTAATGAATTCAAGGTAGTGACACTGGTATAGATACTTTTTCCCCAGAAGGTAACCCAAAGTGTGTAAATTAAGTACATAAGTTCTCTTCATTGTCAACAAAATTATATTTTAGGCAGTAGATACAAATAACAGATAAAGTGCTACCTTTAAGAACTTCAGATCAGTTCAAGAAAACCTGGAACAAGGCTGCAAATCTGATCAATTATCATTTTTGTCATGTGTAAAGTCCTATGACTTAGGGAAATACTTTAACCTTTTTTTCAGAAAAGAGGTACCAGGTTAAATTTAAGTTTTACCAAAACACTGGGTTTTGAAAGATCATAGTCACCATCAGCTGTAAACTTGACATTTGGGTAAGAGCATAGAGTAAATCTTGAGTCATCACTTACACATTAATTAGAACCTCATTCTTCGGGTTCTGAAGTGCAAGGGGCTGGAAGTCGGACCTCGAGCGGAATAGAACACAAGCGGCCTGAATACCTCACGCGTCAGCTAACGGGATGGTGCAGAAGGGTTTCCTTTACGCCTCCGCTTTCATAAAAACAGCGCTTCTTACCTGGAAGAAGTAGGACTGTAGAGGCTGATCTTTATTTTCTTCATCCACATACAGTCCCCCTACCACGTACACTTGATTTTGTCGGGTAACAATGCTGGAATGATTTCTGGGAATCTGCTCAGCCAGCGCAGTAAGGTAGCACTCGTTTTCCGTGGGATCATAAGCCACTGCCGCTGTGTCATTCACCAAGAGGATGAGGTCTTTGACAAACATTCCGTGCCTGGGAATGTCATTCAGGTAACCGGGAAGTAAATCTTCATCACCAACGTCCCCATTCACCTCCCCAGCCCCAGCCTTCTCCGCATTTTTGCTCGGTTCCGGGAGTTTGCCTGCAAAGGCATCTTTAAGAACTTTGATTTTTTTCTGGAGTTCCGGGTTGCTTTTAATTATTTCATCTTTCTCAACATGATCTTTAAAATATTTTTCTGCCATAAGGCGAAAACGGATACAGTCAAACACTTCGCTGAGGTTTTTGACCCTGCTTTCTTTGTCTGTTCGCACCCATTTCATCACTGCCTCAAATACTGCTTCTTCCTTTTCCACATTGAGGCTGTCATTTGAAATGACTGAGATCAGTTCCTGTGGAGAGAGTTGCATAAAGTCCTCTTCCTTACAAATCTGTACAAAGCGATCCGACACAAATTCACGGGCAGAGATGGCAAGTCTCGGGCAGTCAAGAAGAAGTCCTAATCTTAAGATGGCTAGACAGTTACCAGGAGCAAGTCTTTTCTGAAGGTAAGAAACACAGACAGTGAACACCGAGGGGATCTGAAAGCGGCTGGCCAGGGCAAAAATATCTTGCACGTTTCCATCGTTGAGATCAATACTGGCGGAGTACAGGTACTTGATGATTAAATCCAGTACAGCAGGATCCACATTATCTAATACTACCTCTTTTTTTTTCCCCTCATCAATTTCAGATAAAAAATACTCACGGAAGTAAGGACTACAAGCTGACAAAATCAATCTGTGGCAAGGAAGACTTTGGTCACCTGCTTTTAGGGTGCAATCGATGAATTTTTTTTCTTCCAGGAGATCTTTTAGACCATCCTGAAGAAGAGTGGATTGGTAAAGCCGCAGTTCCTCTGTGAGCTCCCGCTGGGAATCCATTTTGTGAGTAACCTGGGTAAGGAAGGGGACACTGAAGGCCTTAGCTCCTTGCAGCACACAGGTCTAGCTGTAAAAAGGCAGATCAGTGTGCTTTGCCCAGCTTGAAGCCTTTGCAATTTAATCCCACCAGCTAAATATAGACACCAACTCTAACAACGGGAATTCAGGAGAGCTAGTTTGGAAAGAAGCGTTGTTCTTGCAGCTGTTCTAGATTGAAGGGAACAACTGGAACTTTTAAGCACTAACAGCTAAGAAACAAGAGATTGAAATGAAGTGGGAAGCTTTAATAAACGTAAAGCATTAGAGAACATATGCCAATAAAGGCATGTTTAAAGAAAGTGTTTATTGAACTGACAGAAAACTGAATCATAAAAATGAGTCAGTCCGCTAAAAATGGTCTAGTGGCAAACTCCTTAGTTGTCTGAATTAATGATGCAAAGGTCAAGAATATGAGGTGAGTTCATTTGAATACTCACAAGCAAAACCCCTTTTCCAATTACTGTTACATACAAATTTTTATTTTCTACTTAAAACAGTGGTATTTACAATTTTCTTTTAGAAGTAGGAAACTTAAAGACTTCTATTTATGTACTATTAATATAATTTTAAAAACCCCTTTAATAACAATACCCCATCATAATTGAAGTAATAAATGCAGAGAACCTGCTAATTTTCTAAGATATTCTAAATTATCCTTCTTCTTAAGTGGAAAAACTATAATTGGTATTGAATTACATTATAAAATTATTTAAGTTATTCATACCCTGCCTTTCTCTACAAAGGATCTGATGTGGCAAACAATTATAAAACAAGTAGCATAAAGGCAAAAGGTTAAAATGAATCAAGTCCAGAAAGAAATAGAAATAGTTAAAAGTCAACACTAGGTAAAGAAAAAAATCACATATGATTACTAAAGATATCCTGTGATTTAAGTGAAGATAAAAAAAATTAAATAAAAAGTTAAAATACAGAATAGATGAAACTCCATGAAAACAATGTTATCAACAGAACACAGCAAAATCAGGAAGAAGTGCTATATCACCTGCATAATTTGGAAAACAAGCCTATTCAAGGAAAAAAATATATAACTGAAATAATAATCTAAGTTGTTGACTGTAACAGAACACTCTATTAATTACAGAATACAGAAGTCATTTGAAAAAAAAGATCTTCTGTTTATATGCATATGACATCATATATACCTCTTCATGAACTATTTTATTACAAAATTATACTGTCACATTTTCTGAACTCAGTGAGGCTGAAGAAATACTGTAGAATTTCGAAGTTTGGTATTTTTTTTTAAAGATTCTATTTATTTATTTGAGAGAGAGAGAAAATGAGCAGGGGGAGAGACAGCGGGAGAGGGAGAAGCAGGCTCCTCATTGAGCAAAGGGAGCCGGATGCAGGGCTTGATCCCAGGACCCTGGGATCATGACTTGAGCCGAAGGCAGTCGTTTAACCGACTGAGCCACTCAGGTGCCCCTCAAAGTTTGGTATTCTTAAACCTCAAAAGAATATAAGCTCCTTGAAGACGGGAATTTTTTTTTTTTGGTTTGCTTTGTTCAGGGCTATAGCCCCAGGGCCTCATGTGCTCTAATATTTGTCGAATGAATAAATGCCCCCAGATCAGTGAATTGTGTATTTTTAAACTTCAAGGTCTCTATCTATGAGTAAAGGTTTTTTTCTTATTTTACATCACAGTGAAGTCAAAGGTACTGTCAGCTGCTAAAACAACAGCTGAAAGAGCTCATTGACTTTTTTCCATTTATAGATGTCACTAAAGGTTTTAACACACTAGAAAAAACTAACAGCTGCTCCCTTGTTTAAACAATAAATGACTCATTTCTCTCTACTCGTAACAACTAACATTTGAAAAGATTAATGAGTCAGATGCAAACACCATGATATGACATTTGAGATTTCTTACTAGTCAGCAATTATAAAGTCTGTTTTGCTTCAAAAACTATTTAAACATATTCCTGGCAGCATTTTGTGACCTGTGTAAATTTTTCAACCTTTTTTTCCCCCTTAATGTAGGTTGCTTATTATAACCCCATCTCTTAAAAATGTACAAATCCTTTCCTTTTTATTTTTTTATTTTAAAGATTTTATTTGAGATGGGGAGAATGAGAGAGAGAGAGCACATGAGAGGGGGGAGGGTCAGAGGGAGAAGCAGCCTCCCTGCTGAGCAGGGAGCCCGATGCGGGACTGGAGCCCGATGCGGGACTGGAGCCCGATG